GGTCAACAGGCTCAAGAAACTCTCAGGGGGGCTGGTCCTGCGACGACCAAAGACGGCAATCGAACTACCCCCGCGGACTGATCTCAAATTCCCCATCAAGTTCCGCACCACAGAGAGAGAGCTTTACGACAAAGTAAAGCATCAGACCATGGCCAAGATTGAGGAGGCTTTCCAAGACGGGGACAGTGGCGGGCTTGGCTCAAGTTCATACATTGCGGTCATGCAAAGGATCAACGCTCTCCGCATGATCTGCGACCTTGGCTTGAACTACGACTCCAGACACCATCTCACGGCTGCAGAAGACACGCAAAGTTCCGAGTTCAAAGATTGGCACACCATCGCCCAAGAGACATTCAACCTGCATCACGAAATATCCCCGGTCGTCTGCTCCGGTTGCGCCTCGGCCTGCGACACAACGGCGTTCTCTCACGATTCCGTTGAGCCCTGCCCCCCGTCGTACTTTGCAAAATGCCTGACATACATGTGCAACGACTGTGCTCAGCCTTCAATCCTCCGAAACCAGGCCATCATGTGCGGACACATCCCGAACCACAGCTTTGCCCCTGTCTCCTTGACCTGGGCAGCTGCCGAGGAGCGTGGTGCACCAACTCAGCTTGCTCGACTTCAACTCTCTAGCAAAGTTGTGGCCCTCGTCGGCCAGCTCAAGGCGCTACCAGTGGATACGAAGAGGTCGGTAAACCACTTGGCTTCAGCCCTGGCTATGGAAGGCAACCACTGATGTGTCAAAAATAATAGTGTGGTTTTTTCTAGCTGGAGGATGACACTGAACCTCGTCGAAATGGGACTAAAAGAAGCCGGCATCAGCTACGTACGATTCGACGGAAAGGTGCGGCAACGGGATCGACAGGCTGTCATCAAGAAGTTCAGAAAGGATCCTACAGTGCAGGTCTTTCTCCTGACTCTCTCCTGTGGCGCTGTTGGGTGAGTTTTCCTGCGTTCCATTCGCACTTGATCCCAAAAGGAGCAGACGCCTCCTTGGAATATCAATTGCCGTCATTGTTGTAAGTAACACAGCTAACAGTTTGAAATACAGGTTGACACTTACTGAGGCTTCTCGGGCCTACTTGATTGAGCCTCACTGGTAAACCTGCCCCGGCTTCTGTGTCCTCCTCCACCAACTCACACATGACTCTAAAAACACAGGAATCCTACTGTGGAGGAACAAGCCTTAGCTAGGATCTACCGAATTGGCCAGCAAAAGGAGGTGACGACCGTGAGATTCTTCGTTGAGGACACATTCGAAGAGGTAGCCATCAAGAATGACACATAGCCAAGAGGGACGACACGAAGATGGCTAACAATCACCCACCAACAGAGAATCTTGCATCTTCAGCAATCAAAGAAGAAACTCGAAGAAGTTCTACTCGACTCAAGAAAGAAAGGAGAACAGCAGAGTGAAAGATTGGCCGGTCTCGAGGTATGTTGACCGTGGATTCCTGAGGGACCTGTCGGAAACGCACACCTCGCCTGACACTTTTTAGGACTTGCGGCGTCTCATCTAGCAAAACGGAAGAGCGAAGAGAAGAAAGCACTAAAATTTGTTTTTCCTGGGAAGTCGTGTCATGCAGCTGGGAATGAGAATTTGGAAAGAACCTGTCCAACACGCCTTTCAAGGCATCATCCGAGTCTGACAACCTCGCTCCATTCTTTTCCAAATGCTGTCACCTCGCACTCAATGCTCGGCATACCCATGGCGTGTGTCTCGAATACTTCATGCATCGTAAACGACCAAGAAACGTTGACGTGGTCTTTGACCAAGTTCACCACCGTTCTAGCCATTTCCTTCCCAGGCTGGAGTCCACGGTACTCACCTGGCCACCAACTGGTTGCACCCTGTATTTACGCAAGATTTCAGTCGGATTCCAGGTGGAAAACCAGTCGACGAAACGGCAGATGCACGTCGAATGATATTAGCGAGTACAAGGCGAAGCACAGTACGAAACCTCTTTGACCCGGCAACTGTGCACGCCAGGTACATACCTTGGCCAGAAGCCACAAGCTGGTGGATGCAGCGGCCCGTTGCATTCCCGCTCCCCAAAACCGGTCCTCCATCTATCGGGCCGCAAAGCCTGCCATCTGGTCCACAGTAAAATAGCTGGGAGGGTGCGTCTATGACACCTTGCACAGCCGAGACAGCGGGCGGGACGGATCGAGGGGCATATCCGAGTTCGCTTGTTAGACCTGCACTTCGTGATCTGTCGTGCATATTCTCATGCAGCCACCCCCGTTTGTCGACAAGGGTCTGCGGTGTGATTCGCCAGGCTTGGCTTACACCGCTTGCGTTGCGCCCGGGGATTCGGTGCCGCCTGTGCCACCCCGAGTGCCGGAGCCAACACCCAACCAACCCGACACTTTCGGGTGGTTTGATGGGCCAACTGCACTTAACAGAAGGACTGCCCCCACATCGTTTAACACAGTCAGTTCTGTTCTCTCTCTTTCTTTAACCAGCAATATGCTGGTCAAGAAGCCCAAAAGAGGTCACAACTCCCTTTTCCCGCACCTCTCGTTGATCTAATCCATTCCGTCCAGGCCCAAACATGGCACCCTTCACAACGTCCCTCGGGACCTCCGTCCTCGCCTCCCGCCCCTCAACCAGCCATGGAACCACCACCTCCTCCACTCCCGACCTCGCCACGCTCACCGTTACCGCCGACGAAAAACACCCAACACCCCCTTCAACCCCTCCACTAACCACCCAAAAGACCCCCCCGGAACCCGAGGAAGAACCCCCCTTCTCAACCTTCACCCCCCTCCAAAAGAACCTCATCGCCCTCGCCGCCTCCCTCGCCGCTCTCTTCTCCACCCTCTCCTCCTTCATCTACTACCCGGCCCTGACGCGCATCTCGGCCGACCTGGGCGTCTCGCTCATGCTGGTGCAGCTGACCATCACCTCCTACCTGGTGATCGCCGGGGTGGCGCCCGCGTTCATGGGCGACATGGCGGACCGCGGCGGGCGGCGGCCGGTGTACGTGCTCATGTTTGGGTTGATGGTCGGGGCGAATGTGGGGGATCGCGGTGTGAGGGAGTGGGCGGGACTGTTGGTGTTGAGGATGGTGCAGAGTGCGGGGTCTTCGGGTAGGCTTTTTGTTTCTTTTGTGTTGGATTTGTGTAAGGGGTTGAAAGGGAAGGAGGGGGGAGTGGGGAGGGGTGGGTTGTTGGAAGAGGGGTGTAAAGGGAGTGTGACATGAGGCTAACGACGTTTCTTTTAGGAATGTACGGCGCTGCGTACGGGGTGATTGCTGATATCGCGACGATCGACGAGAGGGGGTCGTTTGTGGGGGTGTTGTTGCTCATGTGGGTGTTCTTTGACCTCCTCCGAAGGTACGAAACTGACGGATGACAGGACGGACTTTGCAACGAGTTTGGGGCCAGTCATTGGCGGCGGCCTGACTCAAGGGTTTGGCTGGCGCGCCATCTTTTGGTTCCTCGTCATCTTCACCGGGTCACACTTTGTCGTGATGGTGCTCTTCTTTCCAGAGACACAGCGGAAGATTGTGGGGAATGGGAGCATTCAGCCAAAAGGGCTCATCTACCAGACTGTGTTATCGCTTATTCGGAGAAAAGCAGAGCAGACAGAGAGCAAGGATGCTGCAACTGAAGGAAAACAAGAAGGGGAAATCCCCAAAAGACGACGGCTCAAGTTTCCCAACCCGTTAGCTTGCCTTCCGGTTTTAGCAAACAAGGGATCGCTGCTGGTCATTCTCATTACGGCCATCAACTATGCGGTGAAGGCGGCGCTCCAGACCTCGCTTGATGCGCAGTGTGTTGAGCTCTACGGCTTGAATTATCTGCAGGCGGGCTTGGTCTACCTCCCGTCAGGAGTAGGTGGAGGCTTCGGGTCGTATTTTGCTGGTGCGTATTTTCTTGCTCCGAGGGTTCAAGATAAGACTTTTATTTATCTGGACTAACACCTTAGCAGGAAAATTTGTTGACTGGAACTACCGCCGTACTGTCACTCGACTGGCCAAGACCCAGGGGTCGCAGTACGACAAGAACTCGCCCGAGTTCCCGCTCGAAAAAACTCGACTCAGGGGGGTGTACTTGTTGAGCGCAACAACGGTGTTAGGAATCATTGGATATGGGCTAACGCTTAAGTTTCGATGGGTAAGTCTCGCTCCCTTGAGGTACTTTTCCTGGAGCATCAGGATTACTGACAGACTGCAGCACATTGCCGTCATGCTCATCATGCAGCTCCTCACAGGAACTGCGACCGCCGCGACGTTTACAGTATTCCTCCTCCCAGACCATCAACGTTGATCGTGAATTACTGACCATCGCAGCTCTGCGGGACTCTCCTGACAGATCTTAACATGAACCGATCAGCCACGGCCCAAGCGGCGAGCAACCTGGTCCGGTGTCTCAGCGCCGGCGGAGCTGTGGCCATACTACAGCCGATGGTGGAGAACGTTGGACCAGCGGGATGCTTCGCGATTTACGCTTTTATCATTTTTCTAGGCATCCCGCTGGCCTGGGCGTTGCAGAGGTACGGTGTTGCGTGGAGAAAGGGGCAGCCGATGGCTTCTTGAACGGATTTCGGGTGCCGGAAGATGGATGGAGGGAATAATGTAACTCCATGTAACCCCATATAACCTGACTGGATGCCTGCAGGTGATGAAACAAACGGTCTTTGAAAGTCTTAGAGACTTCAAGCGATTTCTAGACGAGCACAGGGGGAGGAGACGATCGGTATGTACCTGAATGTTTCGTCATTTCACGGTAATGTATGTAAGTTATGGATGGTGTAATGAGCTGAAACCGGAACGAAAGTCGAGTCAAACAGATTCGATTGTCCTACCAGGTAATGCCATATACCACAGGACAGAGGTAGGTTTGAGTCATTTCAAATAATCAGTAAGTATCATCAAGTTCATCGTGGATTGGCACGATATGGCATGCAAATGCCTGCTGCGGAGAAGGGTTTGCAAGTGGGCGGGCCCTGATAAAACACGGGTGGGGTAGAACTGAGTATCTGTTGTAACGGTTCTATAGTGTAGCGGTTATCACTCCGGATTCTGATGATCATCTTTCCGGCAACCCCGGTTCGATTCCGGGTAGGACCTCATCTTTTGCTCTTCCCCCAGCCACTGCCGCTTATGAATGTGATCTAAAAGACAAGAGATCCTTGCTTTCAATCGGTGTTATTGTTTTGGTATCGCTCTGGAGTGAGTCCAAAAGGGCCATCGTCATTCGAACCAAGCTGGGTTCTGCCAGCCCGCTGCAGGGTGACTAATCCGCATCCAATGCCACACCACGCACTGCATGCATGTCGGAGACACCTTCCTGATTGCGCACCACCTTCCGGGTAGCTGGGAGTATACCCCGGAGTTTCACGACGAAGTTGCGGCACGGCGTCATGGGCCACGAATTTTCGTGCAAGTAGATACCAAAAGGTGCGGTGCGTCTGTCGTCCTCCACTCGGCTCATATCTGCCTGTGCCACCCAGGTGAGGACGGACATGCCGTGCAACCGATCAACCGATCATGCAGGATTCGCGGCTCTGCACCTGTCCGTTGTTTCCTCGGACAGGAACCCTTTTGGGGTCCCGTCACCGACCTCATCGGTCACGCGCTTGCGTAAGTTTTTGCCTTGGGTGTGCGACCTACATACATTGATAAGCGCCGGGCGGCTCTTTCAGAAGTTCCCGGGGTGCCCGTCGCAAGCTGATCGTCTCACCACGGTGCAGGGGTTGCTTGGCGCACCTCGATTGGGACTGTTCAGATTACCTCGCAACAGGCTAAACGTGAAGTTCTTGACGAACCTGGAAGGTCAAGACACCTTATTGCTGTTTTGGACCAAATGAAACACTGGCCTTCTCCAGGCTCGTATATGCAAGCCTCGGGCTGGACCGAGGGCTCCGACCTTGGAGAGCGCGGCTCCTGGATACCAAGAGAAGGCGCTCACCAGATCGAGAAGATGTAATCTTGGTATACAATTTGCGAGACAGAACGACCAGATGTTCTATTTCTGGAAACGCTATCATATATTTCGATCGCATCTTCTCCGCCTTCTTCTCCTTCTCATGTTCTTGGCACAGTTCCCATCGGTTCGATGAACCAGGAAAAGAAAGACGGCTGGGGACCCCGCTTTGCGGCTCCTTCCGGCGAGATGGGTGCCGGATGGTTGGCGGGGCGTTTTGAAAACAGAGCGGGATTGGCCCTCTCGCAAGTTGGAGGTAAAAATAGCCAACAGTTCGTCAAGCCCGCGTTGCTGGCTGGCTGATGGGCTCCCTCTCTGCACGACACACAGGTTCACCTGATACGCCAGTCACATCTCCCGACCTTCGGAGTTCTCGGGGATGAACGGCTCCAGAGGAAGGCGAAAGCCTGGACCGATTGTCTGGGTTTTTGCCAAGCAGCCGCCCAGTCAGGCACAGGCCCGTGTGTGGCGGTCGGCTGTTGTGGCACACACCCCTGTCCGTCGTCAGAACTCAAGATTCTGAGCTGGAAGAAAGCCCGGCCATTGGAACGTCGGAGGCGGTCGCACAGATCCAGGCATCCGATGGGATGATCCCTGGCCTGGCACAATACCCCCAGGCCGCCGGTCAGACCCACACCCAACTTTGATTGATAACCGTGGGGGTGTTGAGCAAAGGGACGTTCCTCCATGTGTCATTTCAAAGTTTTTGGATGCAGGGTCGGTCATCTCGTATTTGGTATTCGTAAGATTCTGGAATGTGGTTTGCGGCTTGCCTGGTCTTCACCCTTTGCTGCAGGGCCGCGCTCCGGACTCGATCGCGTAACCCCCAGGCCGAGGCATCAAGATGACGGGACTTGAGAGGGATCCTGGAACAACTTCCGCTGGTCATCCGCAGCTCCCGTGGGTCCTTTGTGGCTCGAAGGCAGCAGTGACAACCTCTATGAGGGGGGTGTGTGTCCTCTTCTGGTCAACATCGGACGTGAGCCGTGATCCCTGGCCTGGCACAGGGCCCTCCCCCGGCCGAGCCTGGGCAATCGGGACTTGGGTCGGTTGGCTGCCCATCCCGACCGCCCATCCAAGCCTGTCATTTATCCTTGCACGGATCAGTCGGCAATCCATCAGGGGCCAGAGTCTGGACCATCCACATTTCGGCGGCCCATGACATCATCCCGTTTGAGTTTCCAAAGCCCTGGGAAAGGGGGGGGCGCGACGTCGCGATACTCGACCTCGTTCGCTCCGATGCGACTTGCAAAAGGTCCGGCGCAGGGTGCCGCACCGGATGTGCAGAGCTACGCTGGCGCCGACGAAAAGACGTCCTACAAACCAGACGCACCTCTTTTGCGCCATCGCAGGTCCCATCACGGTGTTGAGCAATTCGGCGCCGAGTTTGTTGGGATGTGGGGGTGGAAGGTCAATTTCCCGGTGACCTTGGGAGTGGGTTGTGAAACCCGTGCGAACCACCAATCTTGAGCCACCGCGTGTTGTTCCAGGCCCTCCAGCTGTCATCATTGGGCAATTGAGCGCGTTCAGTGCCGCCCACAACGTGCAAGGCAAGCACTGCACGATTGCTGATGGAGAAAGTATTTCCCCAACAGGTCACCATCATTCCATCGTGAACATGCTGTCGAGACCGAAATCTAACATGTCGCGTTTTTTGAAGGTCAGCGGTTGCCAAACCTCATTGGTGAGTGTTTACGGAAATCAGCTACCTAGGCACGGGTGCAGTTTCCTCCAGCTGTGATCAGGCTCGGCCTCCCAAATACCACGAAGTACCTTAGGTACGTACCAAATTCAGCATCATAGCCGTCTCGAGACAACCGCCTGTTGTGCACCGGCGGCCTCTCAATCGGGTCGCTCTCTGTTTTGTTCGCTCAGCAGCTCGGTAGCCAACCACAGCCAATTTGAGAAGGAAGTGAAACAGTCTTGATCCAAAGCCACGTTGTCTTTGGAACGTCTGCCCCGCAGGCAGGCGCGCTGAGATTCAATCGCTTGCCCCTGGGGACTCGGCCACGGGACTCGGAAGCTTTTTCTTATCTGAAAGTAGCGTCAGGGCACTTGACAGGCATCCAGCTCCACCAGAGCCTTGTTCTGCTCAGCAATCCACTCCTGGTGTCGGGCTCCAGTCCCACCCACACCGGAACTGCAGCAGGACATCAGCGGCGCTGGGGTACAGTGTATTGTACATACATGCGTCCGAAATTATAACACCTCCTCTTATAAAGGTCGCTCTGACTCCGGGTGCGTCGGGGGGGGGGGGGGGGAGGGGGGTGTGACGGGGGTGGGGCGCCCTGACTTGGGGCCTGCCCGAGCAGAATGTCGGGACCCTGCCAGCCGGGTGCATGGGGTTGCGTACGGTACCCGCCTCGAGCTGCGAACTCAACGCCCTCATCCCGTCAGCACCTCGACTGCACGTGTCCTCAATCTGTCAGGATTGGTGTGGCACATTGCCTCAGCTTGCGAAGCCTTCGGCCTGAGAAAAATTTTCACCTGCCCGCGTTTGATTCCGGCAGTCGACCTGGATCAGCCTGACCGTCCCTACCTGGTACCACCCCGCCCCCGCAGTCAAATTGAGCCCCACTCTAACGTTAGCTGCTGGGTTCTTCACTGTTTTCCAGCCGACAATCATCTTTTAAGGTACACGCAAAGGTTGCCTGCCCGTCTCCTCCGTTACGCCTGCCGTAACGCTGCGGGCTGCCGATGACGGGAGTTGCACATTCAATTGCGGTCGCAGCACGCGGGTACCCGAGTCAAGAGTTGAGCCTCAAGAGTTGAGCCTCAAGAGTAGAGCCTCAAGAGTTGAGCCTCAAGAGTAGAGCCTCAAGAGTTGAGCCTCAAGAGTAGAGCCCCAAGAGTCGAGCCTCTCCTTTTTACACAACTGCTGTGTTACGAACTCGAGTTTGGCAGAGCAGGCAGAAGAAAGAGGCGAGGCAGAGTGAGATCACTTGGTGGATACTGCGGGTGTTGCCAGAGGTGGTTGTATGGCTTGCTTGTCCAGTCAACGGCTTTCTGCTTATTACATGCACCCGCTTTCCGCGGAAGACAGTGGGATCAGTTGAGTGCTGACCTTCCGTTTCGATCACATCACAGGCGACACCACGCCAATTCTTCACGGCCCTCCTGCGATGTGCCTCTGATCCAATCTCACTTGTGGGGAATCCGCCCGTATGCACAATGCCGGAGCGAGGTCGCATTGAGACGCAAGGAAGGTCATTTCATCTACTCCACGTCGCCAGAAATTCTTTCGAAGTTTGTTTTGAGACACTCGGACCTCAATCGCGACCATCCACCTTCCTCCACCTTGCTCTTCTGTGGCCCCTGTCCTCCCCTGCTCGCCTCACTGCCCCACTTGCCCCGATAGGGTATCCCCAGCCCGTGCTCGCGCCACCCCACCGTTTAGTTATTCCCTTAAGTTCCCTGCTTTCTTCCTCTCCAGCCCCGACCTTGCCGCACAGTGTCGTGTAGACTGTGTTACAGGCGCGGTACTGTACCTGACTTGAGAGACAAGGCGCCGAACATTGACCAATACGTACGAATCAGAGACCGCTAGGAATCCGGTTCGGATACTTTGACTTGATATGATCATAAAAGCGCAGTTATGAGTGTGGAAGGGTCGGTTCAACGGGTTTGGCCCTGTCAAAAGCCTCCCGGGAAATGCACGGTGTTAAGGAACCTTCAACGACGATAGGTATGCAACCTCCGAGGGACGCAAAAGCCTTGCGCAGCGAACAGCGGTACTTCTCCTTGGCATCCCTGTGCCGTCTGCAAATTGAGGCACCTTTGATCTGGTGCGCGCGCGACCGAATTTATGGGGAGGAAACCGATGAGAAGGGCCGATATTGATTCAACATGTCTTCCATCAAACATGACCGACGTCCCGTACTCAGAGGCGAGTGACGAGGCGCATAAGATTTCCTTTGCAGGTGCGTGTCAGGGTGGATTTGCTGCCTTGCGCTGGGCGTTTTCCTTTGTTCTGTTGCGGTCACAAATCGGGTGTGCAGCATCACTTGCAGCGCTTGTATGTAAGTGGTGAGACCTGAACCCAACTTGATCAGGTCTAGCCGAGTCGGGGAAAAGTGGACGAAGACGGAAATGGCTGCTCGATGCACCGGCCACCAACAAGGGAGGGGCGGAGCCGGAGCTTGGC